CTGGGGCCCCTTCTAAGTTTTCTAGTTTTAGCTCTTGTGTTTAAGTCTTTAATCCATTTAGAGTGCACATCTATGTATGGTTAAGGTGAGAGTCCATCTTCATTCTTCCGCATGTTTTCCTCTGTTGAAATGACTGTCCTTTCTCAAGGACGTGGTCTTGAACAGTCTGGGCCCCCTGTCGAGGACCACGTGACCATACATACGAGGCCATCTTCGCGGGTTCTCTGTTCTGTCTCCTTGGACGTTACGTGTGTTTTATGCCAGTGCCACACTTTTGTCATTTTGCAAGTTTTAATATCCCCAAGGGTGAGCGTACTAACTTTGTTCTTGTTTTTTAAGATTATTTTGGCTACCTGAAGTTCTTTCAGATTACATGTGAATTTTAGGATGGATTTTTTTTCTTTAATTTCTACAAAAATCACCATTGGCACTTTGACAGGGGTTGTAGTGAATCTGTAGATGGCTTACAAAACGATCTTAACCTACTAGTGCATTGCTAGCAGAAATACCGGCGACTGGATGCGTTGCAGAGAACAGAGGTTTATTTGCAAAACTCGTGGTCTGGTGACTAGAAAGTCCAAAGGCCTATAGCACGGCTGACAGAGGCCCAGAGGGCAGCAGGCGTGCTCTCTTCTAGCCACAGGTCCCCGTGAGGTAGGGTCACCCTATTCACAACAGTCCTGCCTTGGCAATGTAGTCACTGCGACCCCATCGCCACCACTAGGCCTCAGCACCCCCATCACCACACTCCTAAAGGTGAAGCTATGGAAGAGGCATCATTACTCAAACTGTAACAGAAGTTCATTTATTTTCGGAGAGGTTTTTGCTCTAGGGCGCATGTGCTTGCCAGAAAGACAGAGACAGAAAGCGAGAAATCACCCCCGAGGGAGGATGGCCACACTGCAATTGGGATCTTGGGCATGCACACACATGCACCCGGCGTGAGTTTAAGCTGGGTCCAGGACTCGAACCTGGCCAACTACATGGAAGCCCAGCGACAGGCATTATGCCAACCGCTGGTCCCAATAAAATCTATTTCTTTTTTTTTGGAGAGTTTTTTGTTTTGTTTTGTTTTGTTTGGGGGGGGTTGGTGTAGGGTGTATGAGCTCGCCTGAGAGACAGAAAGTGAGAAATCATCCCCCAGGGGGGATGGCCACACCGCAGTCCCTTCTCCTCCATTCTCCTCTTGGGATCTTGGGCACACACACATGCGCCTGGCGTGTTTAAGCCACCAGGTCTGGGACTCGAACCGTTACTACCTGCTGGTCCTATTTCTAATAGGACGAAAATAAACTACCAGTCAGGGAGCGCGCAAGACTGGCCCGGGCAGCCCCTGCATCTGTTCTGTCTCAGCGTCACCCACAACCAGGGGCCTTCCCCTGCAACTCTAGTGACTTGGGTGGGGCAACCAGCACTGGTTTGCAGGTCTCTGGCCAAGCACGCAGGCGGCCTCGCTGTCCCAGCGCCCCCCACCTCCCAGGCCCTCACCTTCCCTTCCGCGCTCCAGAGCAGGTGGAGACAGCCTTGGAGCTGGGAGGCCTTCCCGGGCCCGGGTCCCAGCCTCCTCTCCGTGCTCAGCTACAGCTCCTGCCCTGGGCAGTGGGGCAAGGAGCCTCTGCTGGGGCACCTGGAGCGCAGAGCCCGCGCCGCCCGCGCCTGTCCCCTTTCCCAGCCTGAGGGCAGCTGCCTCCAGCAACGCCGAAATGGCGGGGAGGCCCGCGGGGCCGAAATACCGTCTTCCTCCAAACGCTGTCTCCGTGGGCGTTTGCGCCCAGAGCCCGTTAAACTGGGAAACACCAGGACTCCCTGGAAGCCCCCACACCCCAGCAGAGCGACGGGTCGTGCGGCTCCTGGTCAGCAGGGCGGGGTCCCGCGGGGAACGGAGGAGCTCGAACCCCTTCCTGAGTCATTGGTGGCCGAAACGGCTGGCGGGCAAGAGCCAGGGAGGGGGCACAGAGGCGGCTGCTTCCTCTCCTCCGACTCTGAAACCGATCCCGCACAATCGCAGGGAACGTGCGTCTGTGAGCGGCGGCGCCAGGACCAGGAGAGTTCGGGGGACAAAGCCTGTGCTTGGCCTCATCCACCGGCACTCCCCGGCCAGCCGCCTGAGCAGCTAGACCAGGGCGCTCCCGGCCGCGAGCGGCCACCGCGCACCGCCGGCCCCGCCCCGCGAGATGCGCGCGCACCAGGCCAGGCGGGGACGGGAGGGGAGCACCACCCAGGCCCCGCCCCCAGGGCTCAGGGGCGGGGCCGCCCACCGCCCTGCTGGGTCCCCTCGGTCCAGACCAGCGTGGCAGCGCAGGGCCTCTCCACAGGTGGCCGATTGCTGTCAGCTCGCGCTACCGCCGCCAGGGTCACCGCCCCTCAATGTGCCCTGCTGCCAGAGGAGGCGAAGAGCTGGCGGCCTAACCAAGGCATGGAGAGCGGGTTTCAAAACACGTGGTTTAATCAATAGCAAATTTATTTCTTCCTTGGGATTAAAAATATTTTCGTGCCAGCAGGTGGCATGGTGGTTAAAGGCACTGGACATTCCCACCTGGGGGACCTGAGGGCTTGCTTTCTCACCCACCCCGGTTTTTTTTTTTTTTAAGAATTATTTAACTTTATTTATTCATTCACATATTTTGACTAGAGAGAGAGAGGGAAAGCGAGAAAGCAAGACACCAGGTCTGGGACTCAAACCGTGGTTGGCCATATGGGAATGTCCAGTGCCTTAACAACCAAGCCACCTGTTGGTCCCCCGCTCCTGTTTTTGTTTTTTTTTTTTTTTTGCTCTGGTTCTGCGTTTCTGGTGAGTACACGTTCCCTATAGCAAACTAATAAGATAAAAATCAAGTAATTCTTTTAAAAAGTTATTTTCTAAGCCTGCATTTTATCTGAAAGGCTGTCGTTAAATCCCTTTGGTCACATGAAATTTAACTATGAAACTCAAACATATGTGAGCATTATTTTCATATTAACTATATAAAAGGATTTTTTTGTAGAGGTTTTTGCTATAGGGCGCATGCGCTCGCCAGACAGACAGAGACAGAGTGACAGAAAGTGAGAAATCACCCCCCAGTGGGGATGGCCAGGCCGCAAGTCCTTCTCCTCCATTCTCCTCTCGGAATCTTGGGCATACACACACACGCACCCGGCGTGATTTTAAGCCACCAGGTCCAGGACGCGAACCACGGTCGACTACATGGGAGTCCAGCGATATAGCCATTATGCTAACTGCTGGTCCCACCATGTAAAACTTTTTAAAGAATTATTTCATTTGACGTTATTGATTTAATTTGACTAGAGAGGGACAGAGTGAGAGAGAAAGTGAGAAAGCAAGGCACCATCTTTGATAGTTATTTCAAATTGGGCTAGAGCTCATTAAAATGAAAGTTTTTGCAAGTGAATTTAAAAGCCATACACCATACTTTATACTAAAAGAATAAAGATTTTTATTAAGCATTGTAAGTTGCATTCAATAGCCTTCGGATACGCCACACCACGATCCATCGACAGTCAATCAAACCCAACAGCAGTTCATTCTTGCACAATCCATGAGTTAGGGCAAAACTCCCTTCAACTTACAGTAAGATCCTACTTAGCTCTTGCGGGCAGGGGTTGGGGAATTACACCTCATTTCTGATCACTAATGTGATGAAGAGCATCAGAAGTATATGAAAACGAGAAGAAGTGATTCTGATTTCAAAGTACATTGTTTGGAAACATTAACAAAAACATCAAAATGATAGAAGTATACCTGCTTCTACTAAATTCTTGATGGGAAAGTTCTCAAGAACAAGCAATTTGTTTCCTGCTACAGAAGGGGGGGTGGTTTTTTTTTTTTTTCTTTTTAAAGATCAAAGGGTTTTTTCTTTTCACAGAATTTCATATTTTGCTAATATGAAGGCATAAAACAGCAACAAAGAACAATAATGCATACAGCAATGAATACACCAGGGTAATGTTGATATCCGAAACGGCTAGATAATTTGGGGGGGTTTTAGAATAAATGCAACAGAGGTCAATAATCACAAAATTTTAAGGTTAGAGCAAGATCAGTCAATGACTAAACAGAGTTAACATCTTTTATAGGACGATTACTGGTTATTAGCATTTTTGTTTTGCAAATGGGCACATACTGGTAAGAATGAAGAAAGGACGATAACATGCATAATAGTTACTACACGCTGTAAAAATCATGAACCATGCAGAAGTGTAGCTCAGGTCGTAGTCCTCATGGCCTACGTCCGATTCGAAACCGCGGAGTTCACTGATCACAGAGGCATGGTATTAGTCACAACAGGTTTCAGAACACATTGTGTGTGTTGATTTTGAAAGGTCATTTGCATCTTCTATGATTTCAACTTTATCTCCATTGAACTTGCTTGTAAAGTATGTATGATGTGCTGTATATTTAAAATCAGCAGAACGGCAATATTACTCTATAATTTTTTTCGTTTTGATAGTTGCACTTTTTTTTAACACAAAAGAACCACATCAACAGTGATGAAATTTAAGTAAGAAAGAAAAACTGTGGTTGTGCCTTATTTCTTTCATAATCATAAAAATCAAAGCCTTAAACAAAGCTTCATTGTGAAACAGTAATGCAAAAATCAAATATAATGGCATACATATGGTGCCAAATGCTAAAAATGATATTTTAAGCTATATATACTTAAAGACTGCCAAAATTTGTTTTCTTTATAGTTCAAGAAACACAACTATAGGCTTTTGTCATAACCAGTTTAGACTTTATGTGGACTTCGTTTTAAGTGCGGGAGTCAAATGCTCTTCACTTTCTCTCTGTTTTGTTTTATTGTAGCATTTTGACTACAACTGGTTAAAACTAAAAATGTGTTGTTCAAATCTCTGATATCAAAGAGGGATCTGAATTTCCAAAGTCCTCGTTTTTCTCTTACGGAAAGGACAAAATGTACGTAACTGCAGGCTCTCTTTCTCTCCAGATATTCCTAAATCCTTACCCTTCCAGCATCCTTCACCCTCTATAAAAAATAAGTTTACTCTTCTTTATTTAAGACAGCCGCCTCCAGAGCAGCCTCTCTGCGGCAAGCGCTGTCTGTACTTAGTGCATTTAAGTGAGGGTTTGTATTGCACGTTTTAGAGTCAGTGTTCAAGGCACTTTCGGGGTGGCTGGGGGCCCTGGCGTCGCCTGCACTCCCGTTCATCTGGGGAGCCGGCTTCTCCTCGGCCATCACTCCGTTTTCAGCCAGGGACCCGTCTGAAGACACAACAGAGGACTTCGACGCCCCAGATTGTGACTGAAGCTCTTTGGCCACCTCTTCTGCGGAAGCAGCATAAGGAGGTCTGCCCTGTTGAAAACAAGGACAGCAGATGAGAAGGTGGCTCTGGACAAGCAGGGGCAGGAGAGGGGACGCCAACTCTGGCCTCGCGTCCTCGCACACCTGAGAGCACAGGACGTGGGGATTGGGTCCCTCTGACCGCAGTGTGCTCAGGTCCACTGTCCGTTGGTACAGACCCCCTGGCCTCACCTGTTCTTCCTGTGTCCCCTTCCCCGACCCTCTCCGGAGCTGGTGTCCTGAACTGAGGAAGACCCCACTTCAGGAGCTCTAGTTCCTTTGCAGAGCACTAGTTATGTAGGATAACTAACGCCCCCTGATAAGTCTCCTCTGAGCCTGAGACTCTCCCTCAACGGGGACCGAGTGGTGCTGCACCACTGGCCACCTCGACAAGCAGCACAGCAGCGCTCCGAAGCATTGTGACATGCCCTTTCTGAATGGGTCTGGCCCCTGCTCTAACACATTTAAGAATCACCACAAAGCAGGTGGCATGGTGGTTACAACACTGGACTTCCATGTGGCCGACCGCGGTTCAAGTCCCAGACCTGGTGGCTTAAAACTCCCGCCAGGCACATGTGCATTCTGTGCCCACAATCCCAAGAAGAGAACGCAGAAGGGACTGCAGCATGGCCATCCCTCTGGGGAGTGATTTCTCACTTTCAGTCTCTCTGTCTCTCCAGTGAGTGTTCACGTACTATGGTAAAAATCTCTCAAAAAAATTAAAAATAAAAAAACAAAAATTCTCTGGAGACCAACTCAGCACATTTCCTGTGGGCAAGGCGCTCTGGGAGGAGGAGCCAGCTTCAACTCCTTTAGTGCCCAGGCCACAGTCCTCGACTCCTCGGCCTCGGAAAAGGGTACTGTGCGGCCTGGACACTGCTGTAGGGCTGCCCGTGGCGATGGGGGTACGTACCCCACTTCCCGAGTTGTGGCAATCACTGCTCTCTACAAAGGGTCCTCAGGGCTGAAAATCGCTGTCACAGTCTGTCTCAGAGCTGGTGAGGGCCTGGGCAGCTTCACCACCCATCAGCCATTTTTCAGATGAGCCCAGAGCAGGGGCCCAGAGCAGGGACCTTCCAGCCCCCATTCCGTCTTCTTCTCGTCTCCCTATTCTGAAAGTCAGGGCACTTTGACCTTGTCTCAGGGACACCTTGGAAGCCCGGTGTCTCCACGTTTCCCACGTGTTCTCATTTCAGCTTCTGACCCTCTAGAGTTCAGATATGCCCACGGCCTACTCCACAAGCCACCAGTACTGCCATCTGCCTGGAACCTGAGACAAGGAGCCAGTACAGAAGTACTGGCGGTTTCCACTGCGTCCTCTGCAATGCCAGAGCCCTTGCGCTCAGGGAGAGTCCTGTGGCAGGACCCGCTGGGGGCTGGAGTGGCTGCCTTGTCGGGGCTTCCTGCAACCTGCTGGGAGCAGCTCCTCCGGGGTGACAGGAGGAGTGCGTGCTGGGAGAGCTAGCTTCCGCCTGTCGAGAAACACACAGGCTGCCCCTCCACAGCCTGCAGCAGGTCCTTCTGCCACCACAGGTCAGGATGGGCTCACACCGAGGCCGTGCACTGGCAGTAGGACAAAACTGGAAAGGTCAGAAACAGCAGAGACGATGAAAGACAAGGTCCAGACACACTCGGAAAGTAAGGGGCTATATAGTCACACTTTTTTCTTTTCTTTTTTTTTTTTAAGAGAGATTTTTGCAATAGGGTGTATGTGCTCACTGGAGAAACAGGGACAGGAAGAAAGCAATCACCCCACAGCAGGGATGGCCATCCTGCAGTCCCTTCTCCTTCACTCTCCTCTTGGGATCTTGGGTGCACACGCACACACGCCCAGTGTGAGTTTTAAGTCGCCATATCCAGGACTTGAACTATGGTCAACTACATGAGAGTCCCGTGACATAACCATTATACCATCTGCCAGTCCCATACTTCTTCTTTTTAAAATTGTTTTGCAGGGGGCCAGCAGGTGGCATGGTGGTTAAGGATGCTGGATTTCCACATGGCCAACCACAGTTTGAGTCTCGGACCCGATGGCTTGTTTTCTCTCTCTCTCTCTCTCTAACCCTCTCTGGTCAAATTAAAAATGAATAAATAAATAAAGTTCAGAAAAAAAGTTCCTAAAACAAACAAACAAAAATTGCTTTGCAGGGACCAACAGGTGGTGTGGTTAAGGCACTGGACACTCCCATGTGGCCGACCACAGTTTGAGTCCTGGACCTGGTGGCTTGCTTTATCAATTTCCCTTTCTTTTTCTCTCTCTAGTCAAATTAAAATAAATGAATGAATAAATAAAATTAAATAAATAATTTTTTTAAAAAAATGAAAAGAATGGGGGACCAGCAGTTAGCGTAATGGCTATGTCGCTGGACTCCCATGTAGTCGACCGCGG